CCGGCCTCCTGCGCGGGTGAGGCCCGGTGCGGGGCGCCCCAGGAGGGCTTCCTGGAGGCGGAGGCTCTGAGCCCGGGTGGGCTGTGGGCTCCGAGGACGGCAGTTTCGGCCCCTCCGGTAGAATGGTAGCGGGCACTTAGGGAGCACCTTTCAAGCGCTCTAAGCCTCAGGCACTGCCTCCTCCCACCTCACAGAGATGTGAGCCAGGTGCAGTCACTCCCGTGTGATAGGTGAGCAGATGGAGATCCGGGGAGCTTAGTAACTGCAACTGGAGAGTAAGTCACAGCAGGTTTGGGACCCTGGCCCTGATACCTGACGGGTTGGTTGCAAAGGGCCCAGGTGCCCAGCCACACCTTCCCCAGGTTACAGCAGGGGACGGAGGACCCTGTTGGGTCGGATGCTGAATGGGCAAGTGCAATCTCCATCATTCAGCCCCGGCCCAGGCCGAATAGCATCATAGGAGCAGCCTCTGAGATGCTGTCTAGTCCCCAATGGAGGGTCCTGCTCAAACAGGTGCTGAATGCTTTGGTTGACTTGGTCATGTGTTACTAATTTTCTCCAGGTGTCTCAGTGCCTCCTAGTCTGACCCACTTACACGCCTCGGCTTCACAGAGGCGGATGGGCTTGGTTTTGGTGTTGAGGAAACAGCCGTTTGGCTGTGGGTGTACAGTAAGGGACCAGGCTAGGTCAGTCTCCCAGCCTTTGATAGCCAGGGCTGCTGTTTGGGCACAAGTTTGCCCATAGGTAGGCTGCACTGTGTTGGAACAGCTTCCCTGCAGAGCCTCGTCTCAGCTCTGAATCAGCTCCCACGCTCCAGACATGTGTGTTTGCATCCTTCTTGTAAACTAGGGAGGCAGGTTCCTTGTGTGACTGACCTCCTGTTGGATAGAAGAGGATGGGAAAGGAGCTCTATTCCACTTCCTTATGCAGAGATCACGGCCAGGTCTATGCAGAGATCACGGCCAGGTCTATGCAGAGATCACGGCCAGGTCTATGCAGAGATCACGGCCAGGTCTATGCAGAGATCACGGCCAGGTCTATGCAGAGATCACGGCCAGGTCTATGCAGAGATCACGGCCAGGTCTATGCAGAGATCACGGCCAGGTCTATGCAGAGATCACGGCCAGGTCTATGCAGAGATCACGGCCAGGTCTATGCAGAGATCACGGCCAGGTCTATGCAGAGATCACGGCCAGGTCTATGCAGAGATCACGGCCAGGTCTATGCAGAGATCACGGCCAGGTCTATGCAGAGATCACGGCCAGGTCTATGCAGAGATCACGGCCAGGTCTATGCAGAGATCACGGCCAGGTCTATGCAGAGATCACGGCCAGGTCTATGCAGAGATCGTGGCCAGGTACATACAGAGATCATGGCCAGGCACATACAAAGATCATGGCCACGTACATACAGAGATCATGGCCACGTACATACAGAGATCCTGGCCAGGCACATACAGAGATCATGGCCACACATACAGAGATCATGGCCAGGTCCATGCAGAGATCATGGCCAGGTCTATGCAGAGATCATGGCCAGTTCCATGCAGAGATTGTGGCCAGGTACATACAGAGATCGTGGCCAGTTCCATGCAGAGATCGTGGCCAGGTACATACAGAGATCATGGCCAGGTACATGAGCGATCATGGCCAGGTCTATGCAGAGATCACGGCCAGGTCTATGCAGAGATCGTGGCCAGGCACATGCGGAGATCATGGCCAGGTCTATACAGAGATCATGGCCAGGTCCATGCGGAGATCATGGCCAGGTCTATGCGGAGATCATGGCCAGGTACATGAGCGATCATGGCCAGGTCCGTGCAGAGATCGTGGTTGGGTACGTGCAGAGATCATGCTGAGGTGCCCAGAAGCTAATCGGTGAACAGGAGAGGCCCTGCTTGGGGCATAGTAAGGCAGTGAGGGCATTAAACCCCCTGGTTGAGAAATCTCTGCTTTTTTTCTTTTCCTGTTAGGAACTCAGATGAGCATTAGAAAGTAAACAAGTGTGAACTGAAAGTGATTATGAGACATGTACTAATTTATTAATCCTGCTTCATGAACAGGGAGCAGCTTCCTTAAGCACTGGAACAAGGGGTGTGGATGTGAAAACTCATGTATTTTACTCGTTTCAAGCGGTGTTATGTTAGAAAGGGTTGAATCTTTTTTTTTTCTACCAGTCAACTAGTTATTTTTATGATTAGCGGTTGCTTTTCACTTTGAAAACCACTAAGTTTCTGACATCCATGGGTGTTTTCTTGGTGGTGAGCCGTTTTAGAAACCATTTACTTCAGCCAGTTAGATTGAAACTGGACTCTATTTGAAGGGAAAGAGGTCAGCCAGAAACAGTATTAATGACCACTCCCCAGCCCATAAAACACACACATTTTAAAATATAAATCTATTTTGAAATTGAATTATAATTGACAGGTAATATTGTATTAGTTTTGGATATACAACATAATGATTTGGTATTTGTAAATATTGCAAAATGATCACCACAGTAAGTCTATTACTGTTGTTACCATACACTAAATATGTTGCTCTGGCTGGTATACTAAGTGGTTAGAGCGGCAGCTCACACACCAAAGGGTCACGGGTTCGAGCCCCAGTCAAGGGCACATACCTGGGTTGCAGGTTTGACCCCCAGTCCCGGTTAGGGAGGGTGTGGGAGGCAACTAATTGATGTGTCTCTTTCACATCCATGCTTTTCTCTCTCTCCCTCTGTCCTCCTCCTACTCCTCCTCTTCCTCCTCTCCTCTCTCCCTTCCACTCTCTCTAAAAATCAATGGGAAAAAATTTATTCAGGTGAACATTAACAAAAAAAAAATTTTTTTTCTTGTGATAAGACCTTCTAAGGCAGGGGTCCTCAAACTACGGCCCGCGGGCCACATGCAAATACAAATATTGTATTTGTTCCCGTTTTGTTTTTTTACTTCAAAATAAGATATAAAACACACACATTTTAAAATATAAATCTATTTTGAAATTGAATTATAATTGACAGGTAATATTGTATTAGTTTTGGATATACAACATAATGATTTGGTATTTGTAAATATTGCAAAATGATCACCACAGTAAGTCTATTACCGTTGTTACCATACACTAAATATGTTGCTCTGGCTGGTGTACTAAGTGGTTAGAGCGGCAGCTCACACACCAGAGGGTCACGGGTTCGAGCCCCAGTCAAGGGCACATACCTGGATTGCAGGTTTGACCCCCAGTCCCAGTTAGGGAGGGTGTGGGAGGCAACCAATTGATGTGTCTCTTTCACATCCATGCTTTTCTCTCTCTCCCTCTGTCCTCCTCCTCCTCCTCCTCTTCCTCCTCTCCTCTCTCCCTTCCACTCTCTCTAAAAATCAATGGGAAAAAATTTATTCAGGTGAAGATTAACAAAAAAAAAATTTTTTTTTCTTGTGATAAGACCTTTTAAGGGAGGGGTCCTCAAACTATGGCCCGCGGGCCACATGCAAATACAAATATTGTATTTGTTCCCGTTTTGTTTTTTTGCTTCAAAATAAGATATGTGCAGTGTGCATAGGAATTTGTTCATAGTTTTTTTTTTAAACTGTAGTCCGGCCCTCCAGCGGTCTGAGGGACAGTGAACTGGCCCCCCGTTTAAAAAGTTTGAGGACCCCTGCTTTAAGGTCTCTCTTAGCAGCTCTCAAATCTGCAGCACGGCAGTATTAGCTGGAGCCAGTCACACTTTAAATGCGCATGTTAGATGCAGGTTTCTGAAGAGTAGTGGCCTCTTAGAAGGGGACAGTGAGGACGGAAAGGGACAGCTGTGCTTTTGGCCACTTGGCTCATGAGTCCAATTCTGTGACTACCTGTCAGCGCCTTTCACGGAGGACTTTCCTCCCTTTCCCACCGGTTGGTATGCTGATTGCCAGGTGCCCTAGTCCGCAGGGGTGGCCATAACAATGCCACGGACTGGGGGACCTAAACGGGCATGTATTTCCCACCGTCTGGAGGCTGGAAGTCCGACATCAAGGGTCAGCAGGGCCGGTTTCTTCTGAGGCCTCTCCCCTGGGCTCGGTGATGGCCGTTTTCTCGTGTCTCTCTCTGACCTGTCTCATAAGGACACCAGTCACGGTGGGGCAGGGTCCACCTGACACCCCCATGGAAACTGCGCCCCTCTCGAAAGGCCTTGTCTCCAAATAGTCACATTCTGGGGTGGAGAGCAGGGCACTCACCCTCACACTAGGGCAGTGGTTCTCAACCTTCCTAATGCCGCGACCCTTTAATACAGTTCCTCATGTTGTGGTGACCCCCAACCATAAAATTATTTTCGTTGCTACTTCATAACTGTAATTTTGCTACTGTTATGAATCGTAATGTAAATATCTGATATGCAGGATGTATTTTCATTGTTACAAATTGAACATAATTAAAGCATAGTGATTAATCACAAAAACAATATGTAATTATATATATGTTTTCCGATGGTCTGTGAAAGGGTCATTCGACCCCCAAAGGGGTCGCGACCCACAGGTTGAGAACCGCTGCACTAGGGAGTAGAAACTGTCCTCAGGGTGGACGAGGTTAGGTGGACGCGGGGAAGAAACAAAACCTGTGATTCTTCATACTGTCTCTGCCCCTGCAGATACTGGGCCAACCTGAAGCTGTGGTTCAAGCAGAAGATCAGCAAAGAGGAGTTTGACCTGGAAGCTCATAGACTTCTCACACAGGATAATGGTAAAATAACTACCCACCTGGGGGGCTTCCCAGCTGTGCAATAAATTAGTCTTTTCACTTAAAAAAAATAAAAGTTTGATTTTAGTGGCATATAAGGCCATTTTAATAATGTGATATTTAAAATTAAGTGTAAAGAATGGCAGAACAGGGGATACCCCAAATCCTTAAAAGCTACGCTGAAGCAGTGGTTTCCTTTTAACTATCGTGTATTTGACCTTGCCCTCCTCCCTTTTACAGTGCACTCTCACAACGAGTTCCTCCTGGCCATTCTCACTCGGTGCCAGATTTTGGTGTCTACCCCAGGTAAGGGAGCGGCAGTACGCCCGAGACACTGGCTTCAGCTTCCGGAAACAGACACCTGTGTTTGCAAGCGAAATGTTCTTTGAAGGGCTGAGAAAGGGGTGGTGTGCTGGTGCAGATTCCTTTATGGCCATGTTAAAGCAGGACTCTCCCTGGACTCACAGCACCTTTGGTCATGACTCCCCACCCCACTGGACTTCAGACACTGAAGTTGTGCGAAGTGGGGAAGGGCTGGGCGGCCAGGATGAAGAAGTGGAGGCCAGTGCAGGGAGGGCAGCAGCGGGGGTTTGCATAGATGGAGGGAGTGGGGATTATAACTTGTGGGGAACCTGGGCTTCCACTGGTGAGATACTGGCACCTGGAAGGTAGGTTAGAGCTTCCACATGTGTGTTTGGCAGATTATTGGTGGAAAACAAAGGTCTTGGACAGCAGCCTGGTGGGAGGTTGAACTAAACAGGTGTTGATAGAAACACCCACCCCTGTGTCCCTAATTGCTTGGAGCTTAAGTGGTACAAGCCACCTCTTTCAGCCATCTTGTTTTAATCAATTCGTCCAAACCAAATAATTGAATACATGCAAAATTTGCCCCATGATAAAACTTAGCCTGGGCTCTTGTTAAAAAGTGCATTCTTAGGTACCTCCTGCTGTCGAGTAAGTTGAATTTTTTTTAAAAAGGGCTATGGAGATGCTGATGATCATGTATTAAAAGCCCATATTTATCTAGAAATGGCCAGTGTTTTGTATCATCCATCCCTGTGCCAACCCCTATTGTGTGATAAAGAATTCAGGAAAGGTCGCCTGGAGCCCAGTTTCTCCTCCAAGAAGTCCCCATTGGGTGTGTCCCTAACCCTCACCTGCCCTCACAGCGCGGGCTCACACGTGTCAGGTGTTCGTTCAGCTTAGAGTGGACTTTGGCCGGGTGGATCATAGAGGTGATCACTTTGTTGTGAAAACCTAATTTGATCAGAGAACCAACACCGTGAGGATCAGATCTTGCTTTTGAGGCAGATCTTACTTTTGAGCGTACTGTGAGGCGCCACACACCCAAGAGATAAGGGATCTGAAATGAAAACCCTGGTTGAGTGGAGACCTGGGTACAGGTTTAGCTTAGAGCAGCGATTCTCAACCTTCTGGTCCTTTAAATACAGTTCCTCATGTTGTGACCCAACCATAAAATTATTTTCGTTGCTACTTCATAACTGTAATGTTGCTACTGTTATGAATCGCAATGTAAATATCTGATATGCAGGATGGTCTTAGGCGACCCCTGTGAAAGGGTCGTTCAACTGCCAAAGGGGTTGCGACCCACAGGTTGAGAACTGCTGGCTTAGAGAAAGGAGCTGCCCTGACTGGTTTGGCTCAGCGGATAGAGCGTCGGCCTATGGACTCAAGAGAAAGGAGCTAATTTATTGGATGGTCTTAGCTTTAATTTGTAAAATAGAGACAGTGATGTCGAACCTACGGGATAATAAATAAATAAATAAGCAGACGAAATAACAAGTAAAAAGGTGCTTTTAAAAATACAAAATGCTTGTGCCTTAGCCAGTTTGGCACAGTGGATAGAGTGTCGGCCTGCGGACCAAAGGGTCCCGGGTTCAATTCCGGTCAGGGGCATGTACTTTGGTTGTAGGCCTGGGCCCTGGTTGGGGCTCGTGCAGGAGACAACCAATCGATGTGTTTCTCTCACATCGATGTTTCTCTCTGTCTTTCCTTCTCTCTTCCACTCTCCCTAAAAATCAATGGAAAAATATCCTCAGGTGAGGATTAATACACACACAAAAACCCACAAAAATGCTTAACAAATATGGAGAGTTATTAATAAGTATAGCTGGTTGACCTGAATTAAATAAAACCTTTGATATTCTTGAATGTTTATTATTGGTTATTTTTAGATAAGTAAAGAAACATTTGGAATCTGACAGATTATTTCTCCATCAACACCCCAAATATATTTTCTTGAAATGAAATTATTTAATATTGGCTAGCAACAAAGAGAAGGTTTCTGTTACAAGTAGAATATAGAAATGTGGGTCTGTACCAGCAGCCCTTGCAGGTGAATTACAATGAGCTTGTATTACTTTGACTTTTTTTCATTAACACCAAACAAGACGGTTAAAGAGAATAGTGCAGAAGGTTTTACAATGAAAAGCTTCTTCCCACCCTCATCCTGTTCTGAAAGACAGCTATGCTTGTGTTCTGTTCTGGGGCCTTAGTAGCTCCTCATACAGTATGCTTATTCTCTCTCTACATACACTGACCTTAGACGAGTGTTTCATCATCTTACTGCTCTGTGTTTTGTGAGATTTCCTCAGCTCTTCTTTCAGCCTTTCTGTCTCATGCATCCTTCAATTCAACATTTCCATAGAATCTTCTTTTGTGTTACAGATATGTGACTTCTCAGAATTCTCTGAGGATACCAGCTAGGCGTGACTTGAGTCCTCTGTGTAGCCTGGATTCTTTACCTCTCGAACCTCTATTTTTCGTTTGCTTAACTTGGTCTTTCTTAAAGTGCTTCAGGTAGATTATTGTCAGACACCTGGGGTTTCATATTTAAGAAATAGAGGCCTGGTACACGAAATTCGTGCACTGGGGGTGTGGTCTTTCTTAAAGTGCTTCAGGTAGATTATTGTCACACACCTGGGGTTTCATATTTAAGAAATAGAGGCCCGGTACACGAAATTCGTGCACTGGGGATGGGGGTGGGTGGGGACTGTCCCTCAGCCCAGCCTGCACCCTCTCCAGTCTGGGACCCCTCGGGGGATGTCCGACTGCCAGCAGTTGGACATCCCTCTCACAATCCAGGACTGCTAGCTCCTAACAGAAAACCCTGCAGAAGCAAGCCTCCCTCTGTGACTCGCCTGCCTGCCAGCCTGATCGCCCCCTAACCGCTCCCCTGCCAGCCTGATTGACACCTAACTGCTCCCCTGCCAACCCGATCGCTCCCAACTGCCCTCCCCTGCAGGCCATCTTGTGACGATGTGGGGGCGGCCATCTTGTGACACGAGGGCGTGATGGTCAATTTGCGTATTACCTCTTTATTTTATAGGATGGGCTTCTTCCTTGGAAGCCAGCTACCTTAGTAAACCCTAGAGATGCTGTCCCTTTAACTTGAGCCCTCCGTGCTCTCCCCACCTGTGTTAAGTTCCACGTGGATGGCAGTGAGCAGGGCTGGCCTCACAGCAGGTGGGCTGCCCCAGAACTCAGACGGCCCGCACTGGGCTAAGGTAGCTGTCTGAACAGGGCACCTGCATTTCTGCTCTGTACTGAGTCCGTCTGGGGGTAGGGGTTTGTGTGGATGACTTTTGCCTGTAGACCTCCCACCGATGATATTACGGGTCCCTCCTGGTGCCCGCTGCACTCACCTCCTCCAAATCCTGTCCTCCTGGGCAGGTTGACTCCCGCCTCACTGCCTGCCTGTGAGGAGGTCTGTGGCGTTGGTTTGCTAGCTGGGTCATGGCCAACTCATGTCGGCTCTGTAAGCCAGCACCGTTCAGCCCCTCGTGGACATAGGGACAGCAGCTGACGGTCCTCCCTCTGTGACACGGCTGCAGGGACAGCAGCTGACGGTCCTCCCTCTGTGACACGGCTGCAGGGACAGCAGCTGACGGTCCTCCCTCTGTGACACGGCTGCAGGGACAGCAGCTGACGGTCCTCCCTCTGTGACACGGCTGCAGGGACAGCAGCTGACGGTCCTCCCTCTGTGACATGGCTGCAGGGACAGCAGCTGACGGTCCTCCCTCTGTGACATGGCTGCAGGGACAGCAGCTGACGGTCCTCCCTCTGTGACATGGCTGCAGGGACAGCAGCTGACGGTCCTCCCTCTGTGACATGGCTGCAGGGACAGCAGCTGACGGTCCTCCCTCTGTGACATGGCTGCAGGGACAGCAGCTGACGGTCCTCCCTCTGTGACATGGCTGCAGGGACAGCAGCTGACGGTCCTCCCTCTGTGACATGGCTGCAGGGACAGCAGCTGACGGTCCTCCCTCTGTGACATGGCTGCAGGGACAGCAGCTGACGGTCCTCCCTCTGTGACATGGCTGCAGGGACAGCAGCTGACGGTCCTCCCTCTGTGACATGGCTGCAGGGACAGCAGCTGACGGTCCTCCCTCTGTGACATGGCTGCAGGGACAGCAGCTGACGGTCCTCCCTCTGTGACATGGCTGCAGGGACAGCAGCTGACGGTCCTCCCTCTGTGACATGGCTGCAGGGACAGCAGCTGACGGTCCTCCCTCTGTGACATGGCTGCAGGGACAGCAGCTGACGGTCCTCCCTCTGTGACATGGCTGCAGGGACAGCAGCTGACGGTCCTCCCTCTGTGACATGGCTGCAGGGACAGCAGCTGACGGTCCTCCCTCTGTGACATGGCTGCAGGGACAGCAGCTGACGGTCCTCCCTCTGTGACATGGCTGCAGGGACAGCAGCTGACGGTCCTCCCTCTGTGACATGGCTGCAGGGACAGCAGCTGACGGTCCTCCCTCTGTGACATGGCTGCAGGGACAGCAGCTGACGGTCCTCCCTCTGTGACATGGCTGCAGGGACAGCAGCTGACGGTCCTCCCTCTGTGACATGGCTGCAGGGACAGCAGCTGATGGTCCTCCCTCTGTGACACGGCTGCAGGGACAGCAGCTGATGGTCCTCCCTCTGTGACATGGCTGCAGGGACAGCAGCTGACGGTCCTCCCTCTGTGACATGGCTGCAGGGACAGCAGCTATGGTATGGAAAAGCAAGCTGTCATCCTGAGAGTAACTTTGGTTACAGCTAGAAAAGGAAGTGGAAGGAATTTGTGATTTTGTTTAGAGAAGCAGAAAAAGAAGATGTGAATTTGTTTTTTATTGATTTACATTATTTGAGCATTCCATACTTGTTTTTAGCCCCAAATGAAAACACTTAACAGTTTCCGACTCATGGTTTTCTCTCACGGTCCTTGCTTCCTGTCTCCTAGAGGGTGCCGGCTCCTTGCCCTGGACAGGCGGCTCCGCAGCCAAGCCCGGGAAGCCGAAGGGAAGGAAGAAGATGTCTTCTGTGCGCCAGAAATTTGATGTAGGTTGTTCGCCAGTAGGTCTGGGTAACCACTGGTTTAAGTTTTTAAATGAATATGAAGTTACTGGTAATTGAGTTGGGAAATAGGGGGCGTGCTGTGGGGGAAAGGTGTTCCTATTTGTGAAGTTGGTGCCTGAATTTTTCTAATTCTGGTTTGTTCTGCATAAACATTAATGTTCTCAATAGTATCCGTGATTTGGAAGCTATGCCTGTGTTCTTTCTCTGAAATGTTTCTCTGGAGGGACTGGTGTCCCACGGTCCAGGAGGCCTCAGGCCGCAGGGCCGGGGCCTGGCAGTGCCCAGCAGCCCAGGCCTGTCCTGTGGGCCAGAGAGAAGGCGCAGGGGCGTTTGGCTGTAGGATGTGTACACATTTAGAGAAACCGGCTTTTTCCTGAGGGAACAGTTTCCTTAGTCTCCCTGCTCTCGGTGTTGACGGGGAAGCCATGGCTCTGGATTAACACCACAAGCACCGATCCTGCCTCTGCTGTTTCAGCTCAGCAGCATTCCACCTGGAGGCATCCGGACCCAGGGAGGCCTCCTGCTCACACACATGCTGGTGTACAGTGCCGCTTCTCCCCTGGAAAATGGGAAAAAACAAGTGTTGCTTTTCTAATACAAACTTCAAACACGTTAGCTACAAAGTGTTGTACGTTGTGCTTAACCACAAGCTGCCAGGGCCCGTCTCTGGATGGTGACGAGAGTATCAATGGGCTCTCAGCTCTCCCAGAGGAGGCCGAGGCTTTCTGAGCAGAAAAACGATTGAGAAAACGATTTTAAATAATGAGGCTGGCGATGTGTTGTTGAGAATTGGAAGTGGAAGGCAGTAGTAACTAAGTCACACTACACTACACAGCATTATCTTGGAGCATTTGCTGTTAGGTCTGTCCTGTTGGGTAGTAAGATTTTCCAGGCTTAACTGAAGGGTTGATTATGTCCTGATACTTTCAGAACCTGCCTGCTAATGTACACTTCACACACTCTCACTTGTTTTGAATATAGTTTTAAACCAGGGGTCCTCAAACTTTTTAAACAGGGGGCCAGTTCACTGTCCCTCAGACCGCTGGAGGGCCGGACTATAGTTTAAAAAAAAAACTATGAACAAATTCCTATGCACACTGCACATATCTTATTTTGAAGTAAAAAAACAAAACGGGAACAAATACAATATTTGTATTTGCATGTGGCCCGCGGGCCGTAATTTGAGGACCCCTGTTTTAAACCTTCTCCCTGATTGTTACTCTAGCACAGAGCCGTGTGCTCTGTGGTTACAGAGATGCTAATTATTAGAAAAATCGGCTATGCATGCTAGCGTGCTCCCCTCAAGCCACGCCTCCATTATTTCCATGAAACACGCGTGAGTCTGTGACTATTTGTGCATGAGGCGTTGCTTTCTTGTTTTTCACCCCGGTGGCGTGGTCCTGGTGGCGTGGCTCTGTGGGCTGTGCAGTCCAGGACGTTGTTACTCTTGTTTGCGTCTCGTTACTCGCCACTGTAATGAATAACTTTGAAAGGTTTTCTTACTCAGCACAGATTCCAGCCTCAGAACCCCCTCTCGGGAGCCCAGCAGTTTGTGGCAAAGGATCCCCAAGATGACGATGACTTGAAACTGTGCTCCCACACAATGATGCTGCCCACGCGGGGTCAGCTGGAGGGGCGGATGATCGTGACGGCGTACGAGCACGGCTTGGACAACGTCACCGAGGAGGCCGTGTCGGCTGTGGTCTACGCCGTGGAGGTGGGTTTGCTGGTGGCAGAAACAGGGTTGCGTGTGATGAGCTTGTGTGTGTTGTTGGAAGTTGCTGCTGCAAGAAAAGACCCCACATGTCACTCTGATCTCAGAATTGTCATCATTCACGTGGTTTTCCTCTGAGGGAGAAACGCATCGCACTCCAGGCAGGTGCCTTCGCTTTACAGGTGAGCTTCCTGGAGGTGACTGGTGTTCGAGCCCATGTGTCATCTGTCAGCACGGGAACAGTTTTTAAGGGGGCAAATGAGATCGAGAGTCCTAGGGACTAACTCACGGGGTGTCGCTGTGTCTGGCATTAGGAGAGCTCGACGTGGTCTGCACAGTGGGTTCCTGTCGCAGACGCTCCGTCACGCACTCGGTTTTTCACGTTGTTACCGGAGAGTGTCCCTGGGGCCTGGAGTGCACAGGCGCTCCGGGGACGCTGGGTCACCTTGCACTTCTCTGGGTGTCCCTTTCCTCACCTGGACCTCAGAGATGTAAGTTACAAACGTTAAAATGAGCTCCGTGTGTGGAAATTATAAACTGCCATGAAGTCCTGATGGGAGAGGATCTCACGGGTGCCATTGAAATGCCATCCCCGATCCCGACGACAAGGGCAGGCGGGGCCGAGCTGTCACAGCGCCAGCCCTCTTCTGTACTTGGCTCTCATGAGGTGAAGGGATGAAACCCCGATTTTTCTCTGTCCTGTGTACCTGTGTTTACATGGCTCCTGAGAGAGCCACGGTTCTCTTCAGGGAGCGGGCTCAGTGGGTTGGGCATTGGAACCCAGAAACCCCAGAGCTTGAGACTTTTTAAAGCAAGTTTCAAGGTGGGTGCCTCTTTTAAAGAAAATTACTCACTTTTGTGCTTTTATTTAAAGCTATCTGAAAAGCATCTTTTAAATTTTTTTTATTGATTTCAGAGAAGAAGGGAGAGAGAGAGAGAGAGAGAGAGAGAGAGAGAGAGATAGAAACTTCAGTGATGAGAGAGAATCATTGATTGGTTGCCTCCTGCACGCCCCCTACTGGGGAGCGAGCCTGCAACCTGGGCACGAGCCCTGACCAGGAATTGAACTGTGACCTCTCCTTGTTTATAGGTCGATGCTCAACCACTGAGCCATGCTCGCCGGGCTGGAAATCATTTTTCAGATTTAGAGATACGAAACCTTTTAAAGTAAATTCCATGTAGAACAAGCCCACCTGAAGTAGAACACAGTAAAGCAGCCCACCCCCTCCTCCTGGCCCCTCTGGTCTGGCTCCTCAGTGAACCTCGTGTGGCCCGGCACGGGCGCCGCTCCCCTCCCATCGGCTGAGTCCTGTGGGCGTGAGCAGCTCGGGAAGTCTGAGGATTTGCTCTTAAAGGGGACTTCATGCTGTTTTTCTTCTTGTTTTTACAGAATCATCTTAAGGACATATTGGCATCGGTTGTATCAAGAAGGAAAGCATATCGGTTGCGAGATGGTCACTTTAAATACGCGTTTGGTAGTAACGTGACCCCACAGCCGTACCTGAAGAACAGCATCATGGTGTACAACAGCTTAATAGAAAGGTATGCGTGGCTGTGACATCCCAGCCTCCATTCCCGGCGGTGACACTGCTCTGTGTACCGACCGCTGTCAGATAATGGGTTGGTGCGACCGTAAGTCTGAGGGACCCTGAGAGCGGAACGGTTTTACTCATTGTGTCGTTCATCCGCCACTTGCCACAAAGTTCTGTCCAAATGTTAAGCCTTTGGGAGAGAAAAACACTCTGTTTCCTTGTGGGAACTGAAGTGACTGCATTTCTGCAAGTGCTGGGCTTGGTGCATCTGGTCATGGCGACTGGGAGATGTTCGGAGAAAACAATTGGGGAGGCGGGAGCGATGCAGGTGCAGGGTGACAGGGAGGGAGGTGGGAGGAGAGACAGTGTTGGCGCCACGGGGAGGGGCTCTGCCAGCGCCGTTCCTGCCTCTGAGGACCTGGGCCGCAGCTCCTCACCCTGGGCGCACTGTGTAGGTGACGAGCAGTTCTCAGTCTCCTGCAGGCCTGTGTTTGGGATTACTTATTCTCATTTGTAAGTCATTCTAGAGAAAAACAAACCAAAAAAGGGGGCTCCTGCGGTGGTGAATTCTGGGGACAGCGTCCCTGACCTGCCAGGCGTCTGAGCCGCCTCCCCTGCGCAGTCACCCAGGGCTCGGGCTCCTCAGGTGGGCTGTTTCCGGAGCAGGGCTGCCTCTGTCTGGGGCCCACGCTGTCCTCCGCGTCACCTCCTCAGTGTGGCTTCACGCCTGCGTGTTCTGCCGCAGAGGGTCTGCGCTGTGTCCTGGTGCTGAAACTATGCCCGCCTTCCCACCTATTGCACCTGCGCCCTGGGGACGGGCCAGATGGGTTAGTTTCCCCAGGGCCTGCATTTGGCCTGTGGCTGCCCTTGTGCTGGCCATGTCTTCTGGCGGGTTCTCCCTGATCCTGTTGGTTCCAGCACATCCACCTTCTTCTCTATGTCAGTGTTTTGTTTCCTCTTCCTTGAATGAAGGTCTGTTGTGTTTTTTCAACTCGAAGCTCTTTAAGGGCAGGGAAGAGTCTTGGCTTTGTATCTGGAGTGTAGTAAATATTTTAACATGTGGAGGGAGGGGGTCAGTAGTTGCTCTACATTTTGTTTCCTGCGTGCCAGATGGGCTGCCTTTAAAAATGAAAATTCTACTCTTCCTCTATGCACTCACTAAAAAATAGCTGGGTTCCTACTTCCTTTTAGATCTTTTTAATGAGGTGCATCCCTGCAGCCCGTTCCTAGTCTCGCCGTTGGGTGTCTCCTCGGAGTTGCTGGGTGTTTCTAACATCCTCTGTTTTCAGCCCTCCAGCCCTTCCTGCCCCCTGTGTCAGCCAGAACGCAGCTGCCCACCTGCACCCCGACGATGCGGAGCAGCAGGCCGCACTCCTGCTGGCGTGCTCCGGGGACACCCTCCCCGCACCCCTGCCTCCCGTGAACATGCATGACCTTTTTGAAGCTCTGCAGGTAACTCCTGGCTCCTGAAGGTTTTCCTGGGTTTATGGGTGGCATTCAGGAGCTTTCGTACTTCCCGGCCTTTCGTTTTTCAGTTTGGGCTGTTTTCTGTTAAAGCCATTCATCCCCCCTCATTTTTAAATCCTGGGCCCAAGTCCTTCCTAATTTCTCTCCCATCCCCCACACCTCCCCAATGAGAGAAAGAAGAGGGGAAAAAAAACCTTGTTCCCTTATTTCTATTTCAGAACCTTGTTATTTCCTGTTTTCTTGTTAGTTGGCTTGGGATTCATTAGGTTCTGGCTTAAAGTTTGTAAGTTGTGTGTCTTTTGTGTGAGTGTTTTGTGGATCTAAACCTTTTACATGTTAGAAATGTCCTGAGTGTAACTGAGACCTGTCATGTTCGATCCAGGTGCACAGAGAAGTCATTCCCTCGCACACTGTGTACGCGCTCAACATCGAGAGGGTCATCACGAAGCTCTGGCATCCCACCCACGAGGAGCTGCGGCAGGACCAGGTGCACAGGCAGCGCCTGGCCGCCAAGGAGGGGCTTCTGCTCTACTGAGTCGTCCCCTGCTCTGCCGAGTCACGCCACAAACATACTGATTACTGAGCATTGAATGTCTCGGGTCCACACTTCAAGACTGGAGTGGACGGTGTAAATATAACCTTTCCTATGGAAATGTGACATTGAGTACATTTTGTGTTGCTACTGTGAAGCCATTAGTAGAAATCTGACTTCGCGAGGGACCCATATCTGTGTGTGGACGTGTCCCCGTAGGGTGGGCTCTGAAAGTTGCCTGCGTGGGAATGGCCAGGCCCTGAGGTGCCGGGTCCTCTGGTCTGCGTGTCAGGTAGGTGACCTCCTAGAACAAGGACGCTGTTAGAACTCTGCCCCCGTGACCTGCAGGACACCCGTGTGTTCAGTGGCATCCTCTGCTCAGTGTCCGGCAGGCCCAAGTTTCCGCCTGCCTCCTGAGAGAAGCACGCTCTTGGAATTCGGTTGCAGTAACCTACAGTGTTAACAGTCAGACGCCTCCCTCAGTGACCAGTCTGATTGTCAGCAGATGTTATCTGGCAGCACCTACAAATCAATACCACTCCGAGACAGTATGGCTCAGGCAGCCTGTGCTACTGGACAAACGCCACAGCAGACTCTTAGAATGAATTCGTTAACCTCATGAAATGTCTCCTCGTGACTCAAGTTCTTCATTTAGTTCATATTCCCGGATGCTGACTGGCAGGCTCACCTATTCATCGTTCCCATAGGATGTTTACAGTTTATGTGAACATGTTGCATTGTAATTGTAATTCCCCAATTCCTGTGTCTATCCTTTCAAACGATAAAGTGAAAGTAATTTACACTTGGCAGTGTTACTGACACCCAGGGTTTTGTTTTTTTTTTTTAGAGAGATATTGCTTTTTACTCAAGAGAAAGTGCTGGTGGATATGCAGTTGACTCCTGAACGGTGTGGGTGTTAGGGGCGCCAACCCCAAGGCATCAGATATGCACTTACAACTTGTGACTTCCCAAAACTAAGCTACCCCTCACTATCCATGGGGGATTGGTTCCCGGACCCCCCACTGATGCCAGAATCCTCGGATGCTCAGGTCCCCGATACCACATGGTGTAGAGCAATGTAGACTCCCAACCGCAATCTTTAGTCCAGGTGTTCATTGAAGAAAATTCATGTATATGTGGCCCCACAGTTCAAACCTGTGTTGTTCAGGGTCGGCTGCATTAGAATGAGTTCTGTGGTTTAGTAACATGTATAAATATGTACAAATGGGAAGCTGGCTCTGTGTGCTGGATTTTGTACCTTAACTGTGACAAATAAACCTTTTGGGAGAAAACTGTGTGTTTATTAAACAGATAAGGGACCCTGCCTTCTGCAGAAACATGAAAAGCCCTGTGGTGAGACCTTAGCAAGACGTTTCAGAAGAATGTTCTAGAGGGAAAGATTAAGGCATGCCATCTCTTCTTCTGTGGTGTGTAGATTAAACAAGACTGAAAGGAAAGTCAACAGCTGAGTTTCAGTTGCTGACCTAAGTCAGAAAGGCCCTTTGGACTTACAGATGAGCTAATACTGGAGTCGCGGGTTTGGAGGAACTGGAACCAGTGTCTAACCAAACGTTTTGGACTACATACACCTGGGCCTCAACACTACATGTGTCCAATTTTGTGGGTTCTGTGGGTGCAGAGGCAGCCAGGCCAGGTCTGCGGCCCACTGAGAGGGCAGGTTTCATCTCTGCTCTTGGATCTAAGTCCCTACAGGCACCTGCTCTGTGGACCAGAGGACTCCCTGAGCCTCCTGTTCTGGGCCCACTCTCTGAGGGCAGGAAGGTAGGGTAGATTGTCAGGAGTGATTTTACTAAACACACTCATGAAAGGGCACATGGAGGGTTTGACATGCTTTCCTTTCTAAAAGGCACAGTTTCTGTGGGTCAGCGTGCTGGCACGTTTTCACTCATTAAAACCCACAACCCGCCCTGACCAGTTTGGCTCAGTGGATAGAGCGTCGGCCTGCAGACTGAAGGGTCCCAGGTTCGATTCTGGTCAAGGGCATGTACCTTGCTTGTGGGCACATCCCCAGTAGGGGGTGTGCAGGAAGCAGCTGATCGATGTTTCTTTCTCATCGATGTTTCTAACTCCCTATCCCTCTCCCTTCTTCTCTGTAAAAAAAATCAATAAAATATATTTAAAACCCACACCCCTAACGACTGCCTTCCTGATTCTGGTAACGTACCATCCCTCACAGCACCCAAGCCAGGACTGCTTGAGGGGAAGCTGTTTATGCCAGCCCCCGCCCCAGTCTAACACCACACATTTGCTTCCCTCTGTAAAGACACCATTCCTGGTACTGCCATCCCACGAACAGACCCTTTCGATCCAAGGGTGTAACATTTATTGGTACAAGGGGTGAGAAAGGATGAGTCATTGTTTGCAATGTGGCTTTTCACAATACTAGCAGGTGAGCAATAAAGACACCACCACAGCCTACGGTCTTTACTATCAAAGTTTATTGTGGGCCATTTTCTACCTACTGAGGAGTAAGTACATCTATGTCTCAACATGTGCTGTCGTCCCTCAGGGTCACGGCCACCCTGCAGCGCAGCTGTCCTGGGCTCCGTTAGGCAGAGGCTGTCAGTGGAAGCAGAGCCGTCACTCCAGGAGCATCCCAGAGCAGCAGCCGAAAGGCACCGCCCATGGGGTAGAGACGGCGGTATTGGCGGAATGAATCAGGAGTTGAACGCATTTTCCACGCATCTCGGCCAGAGAACTGTGGCTCCGATGCCGGATCCCCAAATCAGGTCTCATAAGCATGCCCCACGCAAGTGAAACAGCAGCGAGGGAGGTGCCGGGAACCAGGGAGGTGGAGGATAAATTAAGTGGAATTGGAGGGGATGGAAAGTTCTGGAATGCAAGTAGCTGGGTGTAGATGCCATTTGAGATGACGAAGAATTCGGCACAGTTTGCCAATGGGGCAATTCAAATATTGAAAGTTATTCTGATACCAGAAATTAAGTGAGATTTCCCCTTTGGGAGGAACACTGGTTTTTAAAAAGGGGGGAAAGGTGTTTCATCAACAGGAAAATGAGTACCTGAGTAGAAGTAGGTGGCTCAAGATGCCAAGAACAGTGTCGAGTAGGAATGAAAGGGTGTACAGGAGGGAGACGTGGAGGCCTGTCGCAGGCCTGACGTGGAATGACATTTCTAGCAGGGGCTTTGTCTGCGAGGTGCTGGCCTGTTTCCTGTAGCGCAGATAGCGTTGAAGGAATGTTTCCATAACACTCAACTTAGGTGGGAATGCAAACTACTATAGTGTAAAGACTCAGAGACCTCCCACCTCCTGCAGGGGGAAGGGTTCGTCTCAAACAGCTGTGGCTGAAGGCCCGCAGCCTCTCACCACCCTCGTGATAAAAATATTAAAATGAACAAATCAAACGCCAGGAGTCCATGAGCCTTGTACCATGAGCACAGCAGGCAACTTCTGCTGACTTGTGCAGGCGGCCTGAGAAAGGGGACCTGTGGCCTGAACGCTGCCCTGTGTTAAATAGAACCATAATGAACCCCCAAGCTAGCTGCCCACCTGGCTGGGAAGATTAATAAAACAGCATCGTTTGCTTTAACCTGGATCTTCCCCACTAACCGAGTTTGTCTATAGAAAAGCCACCGGCTGGCACCAGGCCAGTGGGTCTGAATGTTGTTGTCATTAGTATCTCCTTTTCCTAAAAGAGGAAATGTGTTAAGTACAAAAACGACATGTTTCTACACAGCCTTCTCCGCAGTCCTGACCTGCTGACGGCAGGCTCCACGGGAAGCATTTTTAAAGGCAGAAGAAACAACAACTTGAGGTTTTTCTCCCCAGAAAGGACGCGGTGGAGTGGCCGACGGCGAGCCCCGTGGGCGCTGCACAGCTGTCTCCTCCAGGCGATGCCTTTTCATTTCCCACAGGTTCCTTCTGGTGGACACTGGAGTCACCTCTATAAGAAACGGGAGAAGCAGTTTCTTTCCTAATCACGTCTCTGATGAAACGAAGGGTCCCAGACTTCTGTGACCCCGCGGGTGCGGGCTGTGTGGGTGGGATGCCCGGGCGCCGTCCAGACTGGCCTTCCCAGCCCCCCGGCCTGGCGCGGTCCCTGTGTCCACACTCCAGCTCTCCTCCTGGGTTTCTCCCCAGCCGCTTCAAGCACAGTCCCATTTGCTGGAAGAGAGAGGACCTAAGTGTGAATTAACCGGGGACTTTGAATAGCGTGTAACTTTCAACAAGTGTAATTATTCCATTAGTCGGATTGCTAATAGATGAGGAGGGGCCGTGGAATGCCCACACGTCTCCCGGATCCCCGTCCACTGCTGCGGCGACTCAGAAAAGAGCCGCTGCCCAGAGCGCGCGCATCCAGGTGAGCGGGCTGGTGGGCGACACGTCAGCACCCACGTTCCTCGGGCACAAGCATCGCTCTGTTCCCTCCCCCCTTCTGGCAACTCGGACCCAGTCCTTTGGGTGGCAATGAGCTTAGAACATAAAAAATGCACAAAAATGTTACCTAACAAGGAGAGGAAACAAGGTAAAGTGAGAAAGGGATAAACACTCGCTGTAAGTCAGTGCGATATGCAATGGAGATGAATGGTTAGCGGAAAGGGAGGCTGAGCCAGGGGTGGGAGGGGGACAGGAGAAAAAGGCAGCTTTGGCGATTTCGAATGTCGTGGTAAGAACTGGGCTGCACTGGAGTTCTAGGGAGCCCACGCTGGCAGCGGGCCCCGCAACAGAGCGCCACTGGATGCAGGGGCAGGGAGGACACGGGTCTCCTGGCAGCTCGCAGGGCACAGAGCCTTCTGTTAGCATTTCATGTGGAGGAGGAAGCAGACAGCACGGAAACACCTCGTCACACTTTAAAAGGAAGTTTAGTCAGGACTGTTCCAGGTCCCCCGTCCAGTAACAGCCGCTTCATATTCAATACGCATTGTGTTTGGAGGGACAAGTAACTGACAGAAAAACAAGAACCAGAGGGTAAAGCGAACCCTTGTTCTTCTGTGTCCCCTCCTGTCTGCGCTTCTCTCCAGGTCGGGGCTGGTGCTCTCTGCTAGACCCACTTCCATCTGAGCCCTTTCTCCTAGACTCACCTGAGCCGCAGGCCTGTTCCCCACCCTCCGCCCATTGTCCTAGATATGCACCTGCTTGTTATTACCATTTCCTGATGTAAAGATTCCATTTAAAAGTATCTTCCTTCAGACAGCTGAGAACTACGAGAAATTAACTGCGCCCCCCCCCCTTTTTCGTGAAAGTCGTTATGAAGAGGAAGATGTTGGCAAACTTGTGAGAAGCAAGCACAGGTGACTACTCCCACCTCCCAGGGGTCCCACAGACGCCCCCCCCCTCGCCCCCGGGGCAGACCCGAGGCTGAGGACGGGGCTGAAGGCAACTTGGTGTGTCTCACGTCCCGGACCTCCTGGCCAGCAAGGAAACAAGAAGTGGGCTTTTCAGACAAAACTTCCTTAACCCGGCGGTCAGACCATGCTGCTCAGCCCCGGCAGCCAGCATCAGAGCTGAGGTGCTGTCCGCAGCTGACCAGCCCTCGGTACAGGATTACATGCAAGGGCTCGGGTCCAGCCACAGCACTAAGGACACAGGAAGCCCAGCGACCAGAAGCCCAGCGACAGGAGTTTCACATGAAGGAGACGCCGCCAGTGGCCTGCACCCCAGCACTGCATGTGGGCTCTAGGGGTCTTGAAAAGGGGGAAAGCGCGGCGAGACAGGCTACCTGTGGACACAAACAGGTCACTGGGTTACCTGAGCCGTGCAGTCAGTTGCTCTCTGTCCTGCTCTCGGCAGGCAGCTCCCCTCCGCCTGGCAGCTCGCCCTCGATCTCCCACAGGACGTCGTCTTCGTCCTCCAGGCTGCTGGAGATGTGGCACTTGCGGAACCCTTGCACGATGGCTTCGCTGGAGATGCTGTTCCACGCGACCATGACCCACTCCAGGAAGAGGCCGAGGGGCGGCTTCTTGGCGTTCCCGGTGGGGCTCAGCGCCAGGTTCCCGGCCAGAAGCCAGTTGGAGTACTGGGCCCGCACGCTGTCGTTGAGCGGCTTGTAGACCACCACGTCCAGCACCTGCAGCTGCGAGGTCAGGCCACCCGGGATGATGACCATGTCGGTGTTCATGCGCTCCATGCAGCTCTTCACCGAGTCGGTGGCGTGGCCCCGGAAGCCGTTCAGGATCAGCATCCCTCGCTGCTTGGGCACAGCGCCAGTCCGCCGCCGCCACACCACCTCCAGCCAGTCCTGCATCAAGTCCTCCGTCATCCAGCCGTAGCGGTGGCAGCGGATCTCCATCCCGCTGGGGAACTTCCCGGGGG